CTTGAGAAAATTATGATCTATGTATTGTATTATATGGATTTAAACCTTTCTTTTCCAAGCCATGTAAGCATATTCTGAGCATGACCACATGACATGATAACCTTTTGGATGTATATTAATGGTAGAGTAGCTTTATATGCGAGTATGGTCTGCTTATGGTGAAAAACGAAATGGTGCTAGAATTAGTGAAAAAGGGGGATAAAAAAAGGGTCTAAATTTGACCAAACTTTGACCAATTAAGACCCTAGTCAAATGATTGAATCTTCCCCTGAACTTTGGCATGCAAATAGATCTTATTTTTTCCTTTAAAATGAGTGGTAAAGCGTCAAAATCAGAGCTCTGTGCAAGAAGTTATGCCTTTCCGAAGTTAGGTAAAAATCCTGAAAAATAGAAAAATGACCAAATAAACAGTACTTTTTGAAATTAAAATTGGATGCGTTTGTGATTAAATTGGAACCTGAGGTCATTTTTCCTTAATAGATGATGTTAAGAGCTTCAAGTGAGACTTGGAACAACCTTGTTTCAATTTTTCTAGAATTAGTTGTGATTTTTCAAAGTTATGCCAAGTTTACGGTTACAGTGGATAGTAATGCGGGAGAAGAAATTTTTAAATTTAGATTTTTCAACCCAGTAACCAGTAAATGCGCTTCTGAATATCTTAACTTGGCATAATATAAGAATGCAAACGTAAGGTGTTACATTGCCACTACGCTCGGTGCCTATTCTAAATAGAGGTGAATCAACCAGTTCGTCAATTTCCCTAACTTCATTGTCATCTTCTACATGTTTAATAGGTTTTTTCTTTGACCCTCCTACCAAAGATTCTTTCATTCTGGCACGTACATCATGAGGAACCTTTTTACAAGAACAAACTTAACCAGAGACACCAGCTAAATGTTGTTTCATTCTATTTATCCCACCTCCTTTGTAACTTGATACACAAAATAGACAGGTAAAGACATTTACTTTCCCCTCTTTCTTAAGGGAAACATATGCCCATGCAGGATCAGTTTTACCAGGTCCATATGAGGGTGCATTGCTGTTTGGGTTATTGGTGGAACTAGAAGCGGGGTTCGGATTCTCATTTTTGGGATTATTATTGACAAAACTAGAACCAGAACCAAAAGTGGGATTTAGATTCTCATTTCTTTCAGTATTTGTATCATCCATTATCAATAATCTCAGCACAAACAATCCAATAAAAACTACAAATTAATAAAAACACTAAAAAAAGTCAGTTCACTAACGTACTCAATTAGAGGCTTAGAGCAAGAATTATAAACCATGAAATCAGCGTAAACTTTGATAAAGTTCATTCAACAGAAATCTTAAACCCAAATCAAAAGCAAAGCCCATTTAGGAATTAATTTTTGAAACCCCCATTGCAGGAAAGAACTAGAACCGAAACCCTAATCTGTAAAATGAAAAAAAAGAGCAAACCAGCAATGGAAGAATGTGAACGGCAGTTGAAATCACAAGGTTGTTGAAGTTTGAATGGCGTCAAGCTCCCTCACCATGAACGGAGTCACACTGAACTTTGAAGTGAATATTTGCTCAATATGAAGAACCACCATGAAAATAATGGCGACCGCCTCCACCCTGAACGAACCAACAACAGCGACAAGAACACGATGAACAAGAAAGATGAGCTAGGCGAAACATATTTCTGCAACGAAGATAATGGGAAAGGAAAATCGTGAGGGCAAGGAAGGAGAGAGCGCAAAAAGAGCGCGGGAGTGATCGATGGACCAGGGAGAGTGACGGTCTAACTTTGGAAAGGGGGAATTGTTTACTCAAAAAGCCGAATTCAAATTCTTTTTTTTAAAAAAAACCAAAACGACGTTGTTTTAACACCAGGAAATTTTTTTTTGGAGCAACCGGTTGGCCCAATGACTCGTCAGGTTTGACGGGTCAGTCCTGGGTCCATCTGGTTCAATTCGGTTTAAATTGAACCTGGTTTTTATGTTAGACTGAATCAGTTTTCTAGCTAGTTTGCTGGTTTTCAGTCCAAACCGGCCGGTCCAGTCTGGTTTTTAATATCATGGTTATTACAGATACTTTATTTGGTCCTTTGATATTTGTTCTTTTTTAGTTAATTGCTTTAGTTCATTTAAGGCCATAGTGCCTTGTACTGGTTCTTTTTTCCTGTCTTTTTACAAACTCTTGCTTCTACTATTAGGAGTAGTGCATTTTAGTTTTAAGTTTGCCTCTCTCTTTTTTGGTGATATAAATTTGCCTTAGTTAAAAAAAAAGGTGATTTTTTCATAAAAAATAGTTTCAATAAAGGAAAAATCGCAAATTACAAATAAAGACCCTTAAAAATATAAAATAGCTAAATGAGTACTTGAATAAACAAAATTGCTTGACAAACGGAGTCTTAAATTGAAATTATAAAATGTTGTTTAAAAGACAAAAACACCATTCTGATTCACTCAAGCACTGCACCGTTTTCTCCCTCCTTTTACCTTTGAATAACCTCAATACCAAACGAACCTATCCTCTGCTAGTAGTTTCTTTTATTCCTAATCGAAACCATCAAGAGTCAGGCATAGGAGGAAAACCATTTGAGACCCAAAATTCTGAAAGCTATCACTAAATCCCACCCACCCATTACTCTTCCACCGCAAGAATCTCCTCTGTTTCCTCCACATACCACAGAGGCGGAAGATAATCATGTTGAGTTATCACCAATGGAGTTCCCTTAGTAAGTATTGCCGCCGCTGCCAAAGAAGGTGGTGAAATGGAAGAATTACCTGTCTTTAACACAACAGAAGCCTTGGAAGAATTCAATGGTATTGCTACCAAGCTTTCTGCTAAATCTATCCTGAAATACGGTGCCCTTTTGTTTGGGGCTTTCGTGTAACAAACTATTTTTTTCGTTTTGATTATGCTTGATGATGACTCGAAGCAGCAAGCTGGGGATTCGAATGTTATTGTAAGAGAAAAGAGAAACATTTCGTTTGATGGGAGTGGAAAAATCATGGGGGTTTGCTGGTGGTAGTGGTGTAATTTATTTGAAGGATTGACTTGAGATGGATAAGAAAGTTGAGGAAATTAAGCTAATGACAAGGGAAGCTTGTAGAATTGAAGGAGAGAAGAAGAAACAATTGGAAATCCTGAAAATGATGATGAAAGTGATGTTTCTGATCATAAACTTGGTATTGAGAAACAGATTGGTGCACGCTTGTTGAAGTTACAGGATAGGGTGATTTTTTATAAGGATCAATAAACACTATTAAATGTTATTAAGAATTTAGAAATGCTATGAATCTAATTTTTGTGTATCTCATTGTGAAGTATTTGATATTACTTGAAAAAAATTATGGTAAACACATACCATTTTTTTTTATATTAGTGATAACAGTGTTGTTATTTCCTATGTAAGTGTTGTAACCATAGACCATGTGTGCATATGATATCAATTTCTGTAATAAATGAACTTAGTGTCAACAGCTGTTGAACACTTGTTATTTTCCAATGAAGACTTATTATTAGCAATTAAATTATGAAAATAGTGTTAATTTAGTTTTAGTAAAAATTAACGTTATTTCTAGAATTTAGTTGCAAATAACAAGTTTAGTATGAAAAATAACAATTATTGAAAAACTATTTACATTAACTTAGGTTTTAGTATAAATTGATATTATTTCCATAATGTAGTTATCAATGACAAATCTCGTATGAAAAATAATAAGTGTTGAAAAGCTATTTAGAATAACTTAAGCTTCAGCATAAATTAGTATCATTTTCACAATTTAGTTACCAATGACAAGTCTAGTATCATAAATAACAGATATTGAAAAGCAATTAACAATAACTTAAGTTTTAGCACAAGTTAGTAGTATTTTCTATTATAAACTTGTTATTTTCAATTATAAACTTATCAAATCCTCAAAATCAAGTTGTTATTCCCAATTATTCAACAACTTGTTATTTTTTATTATAAACTTGTTATTTTTTATGATAAACTTGTTCTTTCCAGTTATAAGCTTGTCAAACCCTCACAATCAACTACTCAACAACTTGTTATTTCCTATTATAAACTTGTTATTTATAATTGTAAACTTGTAAGATCCTCATAATTGACTTGTTAATCGCAACTACTTAACAAACTTATTATTTCTAATTATAAACTTGTCAAATTCTTATAGTTAAAATGTTATTCCCAACTATTTAACAACTTGTTATTTCAACAAACTTAAATTTCTCTTTCCAGTACCCAAAATGGATCAATCCACCTATTCAACTTTTTATTTCCAACTTGGGACTTGTAATTCAATAAACTTGATATTTTCACTATTGAACTTGTTGAATTTCAACATTCATCTTGTCATTTACAACCAAACAAACACTTGCTTTTTAACAATATACCCTTTTCATTTCTAGTCAAAAACTTGTTACCTAACAAGTCACCTTTCTTTAAATAACAATACCTTATTATGAAATAACAAGTTTTTTATTTGAAATAACAACTCTTTAATTAGATTTAACAACTCTTCAAATCAATTTAGTGTTCAACACAACAATTCCATTATGATAGTTCCCAAATCCATTATCGTCATTTCCCAAATTAATCTTGTCATTTATTAGATCGATGGACTTATTATACGTTCTTAAATATAACTCAAGATCACCTGTTAGGAGAACGATTTGTCCAATAATCACATCTAAGTTGTTCGTTCTTCACAGATAGCAAAGATAACTCATGTTGATGCAGTGTACTGATAGAACAAAAACAAAAGGTAAGACAGAATAAGAAATATAAGAAGGGTTTTTTTTTTTTTTTTATCTTTTAGCCTTAATTTCATAATTACAATTTAAGACTCGCTCCCTTCAAACAATTTTCTTTATGCAAGTGATTATTTCGCTATTCTATTATTTTAAGGGTCTTTTAATGTGATTTCCCCTTGAATAAACATGCCTGCAATCGGTTCCCAATTCACAACAGTCACCTGCCCAGTTACCCCATAATGAAATGCGTCATCTCCCACACTTTCTTCTAATCTCCGAATCTTTAACTGCAATTTACCAGGGCTATGAAAGATCATAAATCATCTGCAGCTAACAATAATGACAAGCCGCAGAAATCCTTCAAACCGTCCCATCTATAATCAGTCAATAACTTACATATACCGTAGTAGTTGGAACACAGCACAGAATGTGCAAAAAAGAAAAAAAGAAAAAGATAACGAGTAATCAGTAGTTAACAATCAACAATATAAAGAGTGGTGGCACGCCATGAAATGTACTGTGTCGTATGACTACAATTTTCCTTGCCTGCAAAGAGAACTGATGTAAAATGGACAAGATTAGCTCCGTCAGGGGAGGACAGGTCCATTGTACGTGTCCACCTGTGAACAAGTACACGATCAGCTCAGAAGGAGATGAGATCATCTTTAGATGTTTGCTGTTTCTTGGGATCTTGGCCGCCATCTGATGCAGCCCCACCACCTTTTTTGCCAAATATCATTTCGTCAAGATCATCCATCATCTCATCGTTGCTTCCTCCGACTCTGGAACCGGAAGGCTTTCTTATCAAAGAATCTTCCTTTGTGTGACGAGGTGACTCCTCCGGCTCAACAGCAACAGGTATCATGGCGGGTTCAGGTTCATGTGATGGCGCTGTTGGCTTCTTCAGCTCCTCATACTTGGACAGAACCTTCTGAATCTCATCATTAACATTCAAGGCTTCAAACAACAGTGCTTCGTTACCTGCAGAAGTCTCAATAATCCGCTGGATTGTTGATTGGGACCGATGGCATTGCTGTACAAGCGTGGTTGTCAAATCATCCTGCACATGATACAAGGTTCAAGTTATGAGTGTGTAAATACAGCAGTGTCCCAAAATTCGCTTCTTCCTCCATCAGGAACATTACAACCTAAATAAATAAAACAAGCAAAGGTTCACACAGAAATTGACTGCTACGTAATTCTCTTCACTACGTTAAAGAGCATCATAGTATAAGATTTTACTTGGCCGTTGTCCAGGTACGTAACTGAAAAGTAAAAAGCATAGTTTGCATCAACTGCCACAATCATAAGATATGATCTTTCCCAAAACAAGGGCCAATGTCATGGTTTATTTAATTAATGCTTGGAATAACATTCACTAAAGATCATTGTTTACTTTAATCTAATTGTCAACAGAACTGAACACATCGTGTAGATCCAGAATCAAAGCTTCAGAGTTCAAGGCTAATTCTGCAAAGACCCTTAATTATTTCACTATTAGGGCTATCTTAATAGAAAATTGTAAATTATTCTCTTACAATACGTTAACTTTTAGGAGGTGCCAGACAGGTACAGCCAGTTTAAATACATTATTTTTATTCAAATAAAAAACTGATGGCTTGAAACAAAAAGGGATAAGCCATTTTTGGGCCATTAGCTCATTTTGAAAGAAAATTATTCATTAATTAATATCCAGGGGAAAAAGGGGGGGCAAGACCGTAGCTGCATGAATGCAAATTTGACAAGACCGTGATTAGGAGGAATTCCATTACAATGGTTGGTGCTCATGCAGTATATTTCTAGTCATATTTAAAAGTAGGCTTATCTTTTCAATTATAGGAAGTGCAAATATGGCAAGCAGTTACAGCTTGCATATACTGGCATTTATAATATATGTTCATCTTACACAGTGCCTAAGTCACCTCCCCGAGCTATATTAAGAGCAGTGTCGGCCTTTTCCAATTTTTGTTGAGGAATTGAATCACTCTTCTCTCTATTGCCACTCTCTCATCTGCTTTCTACTTCCTTGGTGCACTTTGCACCAACCGCCACTATCAAGTAAAATGCATGACAACACCTTAATTGATCAATGTTATCTCAAAATACCTTGAAATGCAATGAAGTAATGTGCTTTGCTGTTACGCTAGCTGATATATTTTTGTTTTTGCCGATATAGCCAAAAATATATACAAATAAACACAATCCTTTGGTCCTTAACATGAGACGCATTTTTAGAAGACTTCTATGGTCTTAAATATAAGATGGTTTGCAAAAAGTTAGTAGCATTACATTCTCCATTAATTGTGTTGTAGAGAGAGATGATATAACAAAGAAATTAAAAGCAACAGGTTGAATTTGCTTGGAGGATAATCTTGGAAAGTAGTGATAGTTTTTTACAATTTTAATGATATAAGCTACTTTTAATTACTTTCCTTAATTGATTAAAGACCAAAAGAGCATATCACCAGGAATATTATGTTTCCTCCTGAAGATAAAATGTGGTTTCCGCAAATATTGAAGAGTCGCATTTACACAGCCAAATGATGCCACTGAACCGGAAGGATAAGTCTAAAATCTACCAATTAGAAGTTTAGAGGAAGCATTTGAAATACTAATAAGCTAATTTATCACTATCTAATAGCTGAAGCCTGTGGAACATTGATTTCTTTAGTTAAGGAACCTTTATCAACAAGTAATCATCACTTCTGTCCCTGTTGCCCTCATTTGCCTAATTAAGTTAAATAAAATTTCAGCCTTAGCTGCAGTACACTAGTGTTTCACTTACAACTCTTCCAAAGAAGGTTATTACTGAAATAACATTTAAATCCTATGATAGTTTGTTTTTGCATTAATTTATTTGTTTGAATTTGGGTGTTGAAAAAATGGGACCATTAGGTATTTTAATCTTTTTGTTTTGTACAAGTCAAACGGGAAAATGGATAGCTAGTCATCTCACCGATTCTTCTTCATGTTCATCGGTTCCCTCACTCAGAGCCTCACTTATGCTCGCAATTTCCTTCATTCTACAGCTGCAAGGTGTGAACGTGCTTTCCTTTTAATTTTTATTCTTGTCCTTTTTCCTGATTTTCTCTGAAATGTTCATTGATTTTCTGTTTTTTCTGAATGGCATTGCAGGTATATTTGACATGGAAACAATTTGGATCAGTCTGGTCTAAATGATGAAGAATGACATATATGTCTCATGAACAAAAATATGATGATTAAAATTGCAAATTATATCTACCTTAGTGCAAAACAATAACAAAAATACGAAGGCCCTGACATTTTAGGCTTTCAATTGGACCTAAGAGATCAAATTGTGAGGGCTGGGCTTTGCTATCTAGTCTTTTCTACAACTTTGGGCTTATTCGGAACAGTTTGAATAAGCTCAGGCCATGTTTACTACCAGCTCTAAATAAAATCTCATTTTATGACCTATTTAATTCAATGGCTGTAAGCACCTACAAAGAAACAATTGGGGCGTTCCTTTTGTTTTTAGTTTAGTATCCTTACTTGCATAAATAGTTATAGATGCCATAGACACAGGAAAATTTAATCAAGAATAACGTTCGACTTAAGGATTCTTGCTGTTCCACTTGAACTGGACATCAAGTATTGTAAGCTTAACTGATGCCTTTAGTTTCCTTAATTCTTCTCCAATATCACCCCTGAGGTGTCATTATGAAATTCAGAAACAATTTTCTTTTGTTGCCTGGCAAAGTGGTTTTTTACTTGGTGGCAATCAGGAACCGGTATGAAACTTCTTATATTTTCAATTTTCGAACACCTAATCCTCAGCCCCCAAAAAGATCTATCATGCTTTGCTCATTTATCAATGCTCAAAATAGTCATCTTCATTATCCTTCAACCATATCCTATGAAAATTTCATCATCCTTTGACCTTTTAAGTGATAGAAGAATAACATCCATATTGATGATATATAACAGTTAGTTAATCAGTTTCCTTTTGGATGCATGCTGCCCTAGAGCAGCATACAAAAACTAAAAATACACCATTGAAAGATTTTGACCAACACAAAAAACTGTAAGGAGCCTTGACTTAACTTTTATAATCTGCGCAAATAAGTACATAAATTACAAAATCACAGAACATAGCAGTTACAAGCTATAAAGATCATAGTTATGTAACCCATTAAAGAGGTTCATGCCAAAAACCGAATTGTTTTATTCACGTGACTGGGAAAAATGCTCATAGGCATAGAAGATACTAGGGTTAGCCTTGATTACATGATGATTGAGGAATCGTAATCAAATCCACAAATTTAAAATTCAAACAGGGAATCAGCCGCTATCTAGCCAAATCATAAATTACTTAAACCTAAAAATACTCAAAATAATTAAAAACTAAATGGGCCTAAGCCAATAACGGTTTCAACACCCATGTTAAGCACAACCATAATAAAAACACAAAACCTTATCTATTATTATGGTCATTATCTGATGAATCACATGAGAAAAATAGTTATTTACACACACACACACGCAGATACACATTATGACCTTTTTTTTTTTTTAATAATATTTTTCTCTCTTATTAAATCCTTTAATTTCACGTTAATGCATTAAACGATTTAATCGAGAAGAAAAGATATAAAGGTACCAAATTAAAAATTAAGGAAAAGTATTTCCCTATTAAGTAGCAAAGTTCAAGGGAAGAACGGGAAGATAACATTAAGGTATGTGATCGACTTAGTTCAATCTTAATGCTTTTAAAAAAAAAACAATAAGTTCTGTTTAGTAGTCAACAGCAACACACTTTAATACATATATTGAGTAATGTCAGCGTCATATCAAAGCATCAATAATTGAACTAAAATTAAAATTAATAGTATAACACAACAGAAATGTTACCTTTAGCACATCCTGTTGGGGTGATGAAGATAACACAGTAGAAAGAAGCTCAATGCTATTTCTTGCAACATCAAAAGCTTCCTTAGTTTGTTCAGGTGTAAAACTTTGCACTGGAATATCATCCTGAACCTGTTGTGGGAGACCAGCATCAACATCTGTAGCAGAGCGAGGAGGAGTAAAAATTGGAGCCAAGCTTTCATTGTCACGGCCAGGGAACCGAATACCTCTAGATTTCAAACTCTGAACCGGAAAAGTGGGAGTTAATGGAAGTAAAAGATAAGATTGTAACACTAATATATGCCAGAAAGATATGGCATTCCATTTAGACAAATACATTGACCAGCAATTTATCTAAGCAATATATCAGAAGTTTATGATAACAATTGACTTAGGTTTCATCCTACAGAACTTTTAGGCATCTCAGAAGAAGATGCCATCAAACTTTCACTTCAACTTAACTTAATTGGCTTCTGAATGAAATCTTCGAAAATGTCAGAGTTTAATGAAATTGTAAGTTGATGTTAGCTCCAGGGTTTGTTTGTTTTCTATATTATTATTGCATTCCATTTGCACATCAACCTGAAGAAAGTACTCCAAATGCAATCCTGAATTTATCTTAACGGATCATCATGCTTTCTTTTGTCTTATCAGTCTTTTCTATTTCTTTTGAAATCCCTAAATGAATGCCGAAATCCACCAAAACAGCAAACGTACCTTGTACGTCTCTTCATAAACAGGCAAGAAGCGAAGCTCACTGGTTGACTCTCCCCATGCCTCAATCAGTATCAAAGCCTTGTTTCGGTTGTTAACAACCGTCTGAGGATCATCAATCAGTTTTACCATTTCATCCAGGACTCTCTCAGCTGCCACCTCTGAGAAGGCCTTCTCACAATTCTTAACACATGCTTCAAGCAAAACCAAAGCCAGGTACTGGATCCTAGGACTCTTCATCATAATCCGTTTCTTGATAGCACGGATCAATTCAACACTATTAACTCTTTCGTTATTGATCATATCGCAGATATCAAGATTCATAGCCCAATCAGGCTCATCAAGGGCCTCAGAGGTAGCATCCTCAACAAGTTTATCAGCCTGGCTTGGACCCTGGAAGAACTCTTTCACCTTGAAGCTCATAGAGCTCATACCAGCACTCACCTTTCGACCCACCTCAGACCCACCAATTTTCAGGCGTTCTCCCAACGCGTTCACTTTTTCCATCAAATTGTCACTCATATTTTTTCTGGTTTTCTTTAACCTTTCAGCTTTCCCTCCAAAAACCTTCACGACGAGAATGCCCTCAAATCCTACAAAAATTCAGCAAAGCGAAAGAAAACTAAAGTTATCTAGACGTAGTCGAAATAGCTGATAAATAAGGGGTAACAACCAACATCTTCTTCCCCCGAATAATATGTAAAGAAAACTAGTAAAAAAGGGAAAAAAGAGCAAACCCTGAATAAGTTAAGGCTGGCTTCAATTCATTCTGAACATACTAGGGTTGAATTTAAGTCACACATTCGAGATGGAGAGGAGACGGGATTTTTGAAGTAGAAAACGCGCAAAAACTCGGTAAAGTCTACGTCGTTCTTTGGAGACTCAGTCCGCTGTTGCTTTCTTCTTTCCCGACTCTGACTTCACGCCTCTGGTTTCTTTTCTCTTAAATAATAATAACAACAATAAGAAAAAATCGCAAGAAATTACAATTTGAGTTTTTTAATTCACAAAATTACTGTGAAGACTATGTTCTAAATATAAATTATGAAATATTAGAAAAAAAGATAAAAATATCCTTATAAACAGACCATTTTGTCTAGGCCCACTAATTAATATACAAAAACATTAAAATGATTAAAAAAAAGATAATAGAAAAATCTACCTTAATTCTTTTCTGGAGACTAAGTTTGAAAATTTCTGCAAAAAAAAAAAATAAAGCAAGAATAGCTTTGTTAACATAATTAATAATACAAATAGAAGATATGGTTAATTATTGATTGACTTCTAAATAAGAAAGTGTGGAGAGGACACATTAAAGAGGAAAATAAGAAAAATTAGAAAATAAAAATAAAAATCTTTCATTTAAATTGATTGGTACCCAATTGAAAATATCCTTTTAGAGGCATAATTATGAAAAATAAAAAAAATATCAATTAATGATGATTTGGTGCTTAAATAGGGAAAAAAAATATTATGAGTCATAATTAAGGGAAATAAAAACATGAAAATTAAAAAGGAAATGAAAAACTCTAGCTGAAGCTTATAAATAAAAGAATAAAGGTTGGAAAAAAAAAGACAAGGTTTCTGAGGAAAAAAGACAGTAAGCGAGAAAGATAGAGGGACACTCTTGTCATCATTTTTACTTTATTTCATCATTCAAAATGGGTTCAGGGGAATTAAAAACTTAGTCAGAGCCCCCATTATACCAACTGCCACATGTCTAGATGCTTGATATGCTGATGAGCATATCAATAGAGTTGAGGCATACGCACTTTAAGCTCTAGAGGCATCTTCCTCTTTTACTTATCCTTTGTCCCCCCCCTCCTCTTTCCTTCTTTTTTTTTTTTCGTTTTGTTTTTGTTTCCTCATCTCGTATTTTGGTTCTCACCTCACATAATCTCTTCGAATGATAGTTTAATCTCAATGGGATCACAATCCAGCCATAGTTAGAGCATTTGGTATGGGTCTTCTCCCTTTCTATACTATTGTGTTTGGTTCAATAATTTGATGATGAATTGTTTTCGGGTGATCTTTTCTTCCTCTCAAAAGTGCTTCCTAGTTTTTAGATCTGTATTGCATGAGGTTTTTAGAAGCTCCACAGGTATCAAGATTCATCAGTAAATTGTGTGAGATTATGGGAGTCTCCATAGGTATACCAATAGAGTTGCACAAGCTTTCTTTTTAAAATAAATAAAGAAGAAAAAAATTTTGGACCAATGTTCATAAATGAAAATAAAATAAAAAGTCCTCTTTTCCATAAAAACTAAAATATTTTCAAAATAAACATTTTCTAGAGCCGTATGAGGTTTTTAGAACTTCTTTTAGAAATGGGGGTTTGTCAACTTGTTGATTGTTCCAAACAGTGGTAGAACCTGGTGAACCGGGCAGGGTACTGCTTCCTATCCTCTCCAACCAGTCGAGTAAACAACCCTCTCGGTTCGCTCGAACGATTGCATACCCAAAGCTTAGAAGGAGCTTCCTCTAACAAGCATTCTCATACCTCTCCTTGTTAGCAGTTTTGAAATTCTTCTGTGTGAGATTATGAGAATCTCTATAGAAAATGTAATCAAAAGCTCTTTCAGAAGAAATCTTTTTCCAAATAGCAATAAAGGAATTGATTTTATCAATTAAAAATTATGAACCACCAAAGATATTTCTTAAATAAATTAAATAAATATTTTCTTGAATCAAGTGACATATATTTTTATCCTAGAACTATGTGAGGCTTGATCCCTTTAAAGGGTATGTAGACCCTAGGTTTTTATCCTAGGTCAAATCTAACTTTGAAAATAAATTATTTTTTCCTTTTATTTTTGCTCCCTAATTTTATTTCTTTCTTTTGTTTTTAGGGTAATTAAAATATAATAAAAGGTCATATTGGTTTTATTGTCAACTAAGGACAACCATTCTCATGAACAAGTGCTATAGGATGCCTAACACTTTCCCCACGAAAAATTAACTCCCAATCCCTACTATGCTTTTGTAGACCGTCTTTTATGAAAGGTTTCCAAAATCACCCTCCTAAACTTTTGGTCACTACTCCTCTTTTGTTTCCTTTTATAGGAAGACCAAGATTCGGGCACGACAATTTGGTGAGAACCCACAAGGGAAAAATCTCACGAACCCAGAACCGATCTGAATATACGCACTCCAAGAATGTAAACAAAGGTCTGGTGATCCACTTAAACCCTTGAACACGGGAGAACAAGGACCCGAAGTGTTGAAAGACGCCACAAGGTTGATCAAGCCTTGATAAGTCTGTTAATTCAATGAAGAACCCTAGAGAGAACCCCTCTCAAGTCAGAAATTGTAAAATGCAAGTTTTTCATTCAAATTCCAATGTGCCTCCAAAATGAGGGTGACAATATCTTATAGAGGATACATTCAGAAATCTGACCTAAAAAGCATTAAATGCAATCTTGAAAATCAAAATATAAAATACTAACTTAAATAAAATCATAAGGACTTGATTTAGGTAACTTGGAAACTCAAAATTCAAATCTGCCAACTAATTATGAATTTTCGCTCAAATGCATTTAATAAAATATAATCAGCATATCAGGCCCAAAATATGATTAATTAGGCCCAAATGAGTCTTCTCATGTGTTATACTTGATCCAAGCTCCTTAGATTGAAGTCTCCAAGCCCAAGATATGATCAGCAGCTTTCTTTTTCAGCCCAAATGACATTAGAGACGTCCTCAGCATTTTCATCTAGATTTGATGCTCCAACAAATGCTATTTGCTTTGTCAATGTGTCTTACACTAGCCCGCTCAATGCTTCCTTAATTCTTTTAGCCCTTGCTCTTGTGATTGGTCCAGTTGGAATTTGCAATGGATCATTGGAAGTTGAGGAGTTAGCTTGCTGTATCACATCATTCCCTCTCTCCTGAAAAGGATTCGACCTTGAATCATCACCTGCATCAAAAGGAGATAAATCAGCCACATTGAAAGTAGCACTAACATTATACTCACCAGGTAAATCAATTTTGTAAGCATTGTCATTGATTCTTTCAAGCACTTGAAATGGACCATCTCCTCTTGGAGCTAATTTGGACTTTCTTTGAGATGGAAATCTTTCTTTCCTCATATGCACCCACACCCAATCACCAGGTTTAAAGAGAACACGTCTTCTTCCTTTGTTAGCCTTGGATGCATATTGCTCATTTTTCTTCTCGATTTGTTGTTTCACTTTTTGATGAAGTTGTTTCACTGTTTCAGCTTTCTTTGTCCCATCAAGACTTGCCCTCTCATCAATAGGCAATGGTAATAAATCCAAAGGAGTTAGTGGATTAAAACCATACACTATTTCAAAAGGAGAATAATCAGTAGATGAATGCACACTCCTATTGTAAGCAAATTCAATGAATGACAAGCAATTTTTTCAATTCTTTAAGTTCTTTTGAATCACAGTTCTAAGCAATTGAGTTAAAATTCTATTAACTACTTCAGTTTGTCCATCAGTTTGTGGATGACAAGTAGTAGAAAACAATAATTTAGTACCAAGCTTACCCCACAAAACCCTTTAAAAATGACTCAAGAATTTTGTATCCCTATCAGAAACAATACTTTTAGAAACACCATGAAGTCTAACAATTTCCTTAAAGAACAAGTTAGCAATATATGTGGCATCATCGGTTTTATGGCAAGAAATGAAATGTGCCATTTTAGAAAATTTGTCAACAACCACAAATATGGAATCCATTCCCTTTCTCGACCTAGGTAAACCCAAAACAAAATCCATTGATATATCTACCCAAGGTTCACTAGGCACAGGTAATGGGGTGTACAAACCATGTGGCAAGACTCTAGATTTAGCCCTTTTACAAGTTATGCATTTAGCACAAATTCTTTCCACATCACGTTTCATTTTAGGCCAAAAGAAATTTTCATGCAGAACATCCAATGTCTTTTTCACACCAAAGTGACCCATTAATCCTCCCCATGTGCTTCTCTTACAAGTAATTCTCGTAAAGAACATTGAGGCACACACAATTTGTTTTCTTTAAACAAGTACCCATCAATCCTATAAAACTTTTCAAATGCTTTCTTTTCACAAGCAAGAAACACTTTAGCAAAGTCAGCATCAGTGGCATACAATTCCTGATATATTCAAAACCAAGCAACCTAGCATTTAGAGTAGTAAGAAGAGTATACCTTCTTGACAATGCATCAGCTACCACATTTTCTTTACCTTTCTTGTATTTGATGACATATGGAAATGTCTCAATAAATTCCAGCCACCTTGCATGTCTTTTGTTCAACTTACCTTGACCCTTGATGTGCTTCAAAGACTGATGATCAGTGTGAATAACGAATTGTTTAAGCCAAAGGTAGTGTTGCCAATTCTCCAATGCTCTTTTGAATGCATAAAGCTCCTTGTCATAAGTTGGATATTTCAAGGCTGCTCCGTTTAGCTTTTCACTAAAATATGCCAGTAGCTTTCCTTCCTGCATTAAAACAGCTCCTATTCCAACTCCAGATGCATCACATTCAATCTCAAAAGTTTTATTAAAGTCAAGCAATATTAGCACAGGTGCAGAACACAATTTTTCCTTAAGTTTATTGAATGCATCATCTTGTGCTTTGTCCCATTTGAAACCAATAGATTTTTTAATGACCTCAGTGAGTGGTGCAGCAAATGTGCTAAAATCCTTCACAAAGCGCCTATAAAAACTAGCCAGACCATGAAAACTCCTCACCTCAGTTATGCTTTTGGGTGTTGGCCATTCTTTTATAGCTCTTATCTTTTCTTCATCAACTTCTATCCTTTTAGCACTCACCACAAAGCCAAGAAAGACAATTTTATTCATACAAAAATCACACTTCTTCAGATTTGCAAACAATTTTTTCTTTCTCAAAACATCAAGCACACAATGCAAATGATTCAAATGCTCATCAAGATTCTTGCTGTAAATCAAAAT